CGACATCCTTTGAGTTAAGGGGCCTCTTGGAGTTTGGCCTCTAACTCAATGGCCTTAGCCTAGGTAGCCTTGAGATCGGCCTTAGTGGTTTCGGTGTTAGCCTCGACAGTTTTTGTTTTTTTCTCGGCTTGGTTCTGAGTAGCCTTGGAAGCCATGCCTTGATCCAATAGAGTTTGATTGTTGGCTTTTGCATGATTGAACGAGGAAAGGAGTTTGGTAGCTTCTTGAGTTTTCTTTGCCAACTCCTTCCTTGTCATCTCTGTCTTGACCGTGTTTGAATGAGCGTGCTAGATGGCCTGCAAGGATTGAAACATATTAGAAAAATTTGACTAAGTATTGAAAAACTTTAAAAGGGTAAATAAGGAAACTTACCAAGATAGAGTGCTACATTATCAAGCTGAAGTTCTCGTAATCGTGGAGGTCGGCCATTTGATTCAAATCTTATGGTAGGAGCACATCCATTGACAAGGCGGCGTCAACCTCTACGTCTTGGATCGCGTTGTCACCGACTGTCAAAGGTCTATCTCCTACCATGACCTCGAGCGCCCAGATCATGCTACGGGGAAAGCTGCTGCTACCTTCAGGATGGTCAGACCTCGGCTTCTTTTCCGGAGGGACGTCGGGCGATGGGACCTTGGCTGGCCTCTTGTTGGCAATAAGGATACTCTTTTCAGTCTCGGCCAGTTTGGAGAACGGTAAAGTGTCTTCAAAATCAACCTAAGTCACTATAGCCTTGGCCTTAGCCTTCTTGACTCTTTTAGGCGTTGGCTTGGATTGAGAGAGAGAAGAGGAGGACTGCACAGTCATTACCCCAGGGATATTGGCCAGAAGGTCTTCAACGACGACAGGTTTGCGGCCCATTTCGTTGGCAGTGGCGGTAAGTGTAACTTTGGTGTCGAAATAAATGGCAGGAATGGTGATTGGAGGATTGGCTAGATCGTAGGCCGACGCCTTAGAATCTTGTCGTTTGCGGCTACGAGTTCTGCCTGTTGGTACATTTGGTAGAGCACGACGTCGGCGTCGGCGATGAAATGGTGAGATTAGTTGAGCTGGAGCAGAAGTAGAAGGTTGCTCTACTGGGTTTGATGAAGAGGCCTGATCTGGCCTTGGCGATGAAACAATTGTTGAAGTTGTTGCTGATGGGGAAGTCTTGCTTCGGCGTGGGACGTCGGGTAACGCGAACTTGTAGGTCGGGATATAATTAAGTAGCAAAGGGGCCTTGGGCTTATTAATATCCAAACCTAAAAGCCTGTTTAGGTCAGGGCTGGGGAAGAAGGTTTGTTGGAAATCCTTTGCTGGCTGGAGAAAAGTTGCAAAAAAAAGTGAGAAGAAAACATTCAAAAAACAAATATATACTGACAAGTCCTAGCTGAAATATGATTGAAAGGATAACTTAGCTCTTACCATCACCCTCTTTAAACACCAATCGGAGTAGAGGATAAAGATGAAGATCGTCGTCAGACGCAAATTTCCAGTTGCCCGAGATGATGAAGTAATCATCTTTAGCACCCTTGTTAGAGTCTGGGAGGTCGGCTATTAATTTGTAGGTAGTGGACCTGGGCTTGAGGTAATATATGTAGCATTTTTCAGACTTAAGGCCACACATGGTATAGAAGAATTGGATGTCGCTAAAGTGATCCTAGCCTTTTCTCGGTGTGCTAGTTCGATTATGCCATTGATGACCTTATAAGAGTTTATGGCAAGTTGCATAGGGTTAAGTTTGAAAAAGTGGAGGATTTCGCGAAAGAGAGTGTCTAGGGGAAACTGAAGTCCACATTCGATAAAGGCAACCACGGGGAAGGGCATGGAATCTCCATCTAGCATGATAGAGTCATCCTCTTCAGCTAACCTAATCTGGACATCGACTGGGATAGAAAACTCTCTCCTAAAGTACTCAAGTTTTTCTGGGGCATCTACCTTCTACCTGAACATACCCATTATCTCGGCAAGAAGGGATTGGATAACAGAGTGATGGATATAGGTTTGAATACCTCGGCTACAACCTAAACAGGCATTGGTGCAAGGGTTTTTGAAGATCTAAGAGGGATTCGTTTTGATTTTCCTAAAGAACAAGGTTCTAAAGCAAATCCCAATCCTAGAAACTACAGAAATAGGAATTGAGGGAAAAATCTAGAAATACAACAAGAAAAGCAGCAAAAGGAGCATGATTCAGAGTCAAGAAGCATCAAAGGCAAACAAAATCCAAGAACATGAAGAATTACAAACGCTGTGTGAGTGTGTGAAAGCAATGTACATAAATCACAAGCAAATGCAATGACGAAACTTCAAGGAACAAGACAGATTCAAGAACAGAGAATGACTCATACTAAACAAAATACAACTACGAAAACAGATATAACTTCCACAGTAACAGATACAGAGTGGAGCATATGGCAAAACTCAAAAGGAAGATGTATTGAAGAACATGACTAGGAAGTAGAAAGAATAAACTGAGGACTTACCGAATCAAGTCGATGGAAGGGACGCCAGAATAAGTCTTGCTAAAGTTAGATAGCGTGAACAATTAGAACCAAACGACGAAATGCTTGCTGGAGGAAATGATTGGAGCAATTGTAGGAGCTTAGAAGCACGGAAATGGAAGTTTCGGAGAGGAGAGTTAGAGAGAGAAAATTTGAAGGCAAATTGAATTCTCAAAAGTGAAGAGACAGAGAGAGAATAAGAAGTTTTGTCAAAAATATAAAAAGGCGGCAAACCATAATGATATGCCTTGGGCGACGTGTCTGTCAGGCGGCGTGTGCAGAAGCGACATGACCTGATAGCGCGTGTCAGGTATGAACCAATGTGAAAAGGACGCGTGGCAAAAACAGTTGAGAAAAACCGTGCGTGACAGCTTATGCGCAGACAAACTCTTGGAATTCTTGATTTAATGAAGCAAAAACCTTAGCTAAAGGAGCGATCTCGGTTACGGAACTTAAATAACTTGGCTCTTGGTTCTTGGCCATTGATAAAGATGGACAGTTGAGTCCTGGTTGTATGAAGCCGACGAGCCATGATCTCTGTCAGAAGGATATGTGAATTCTTAGCCGACATAAAATCTGGACGAACGGTGTAGGTTCCATCACCTCAGATTGCTGAGGTAATAGAACCTAGGGGGCAGTTATAGGGACATATTTCGTGAATGACAGCACGTGGCCAAGGTGATGCCGAAGTGTCAGTTGAGGTGCCACGTGGTTTGGTCCTGATGCCGAGGTTATCTGCGGAGATACAGGAATCCGAGATGAACGGATAAGGGACAAGAGTCCTAGAATAGGAGATGATCTAAGTCTGGATAAAGATAAAGCTCTTAGGGAGTTTATTCCTATCTAGCTGAGCATCCAGGATGAGCATTGAACCTGAGTCCACTGAAGTGAGGCTTCTATAGAGATCAGGTCAGTGCTAGCTATAAAAGTAGTGCACCCCCGTGGGTCTCGGGTATGGGTGATATACTAAGAGTAATAAGTTCTTTCTTGTGAGTTAAGCACAATTTGCTATCTTTGAGAGATATTTGATTATTGACTTGAGCGTTGGAGTGGCCCCAGGTGGACGAACCACCATCGGATTCTTATATTTCTGTGACAGGTTGTTCGGGCTTAATCTATTCTGCTGGTGCTCTCCAACTAAGTTTCCCATTTGGTTGTGTGGTCAGAAATCAACACGCACACAAGGGAAGAGATTAAAAGATGTTGGCGAATCAGTTACAATAGCATAGAATAGAAATATGTCTTCAATTTTTTATGAGAAAGCTCAATTAGAATGAGAAGCTACTGGGTGACCCTAAATGTAATTACACCTGCAACCAATCATAAGTACAACCATATATTAATTTCACATAGAAAAAATAAATAAATAAAAAAACTAGTTTAATAAACCATAGAGAAAGCAATAGAAATGTGAATCATCTTGATAACAAAGTAATAGAGATTCATAATGATGTCAGTTGTATTATCCATATATTGAACCAATTCTCCATATATTGAACCACCATCAGACAAGCATAGACATTCATAATGATGTCACTTGTATCATCCATATATTGAAACATTCTCATAACAAATCAATCGAATTTTGAGTAGGGCCAGATTAATGCAATATGTCACTTGTCCATAAATCATAAAATGTGTCCAACCATAAACATTTCTACATTTACAAATTAAAGTATCCAAAGTTTACAAACCAAAGTCATAAAATTACTACTGCGAAACTAAAAATAAAATGGGGTATTTGGATCCACATCTATATTCAAGTTAACAAATTTTGAAGCAATTGTCGAACTTTGACTGCTTATGTTGTTCACCATTCCTGAATGACTAAGAGATGCGCTTCTAATATTGTCCACCATTTGCATTGGGCTACCTCGTGCCTATTCAATGAGAAAGTAAATAATATTAAAATTTTTTGTCACAAACATATCTGCAAATCACAAAAAGCAAAAAAAATTCATGTCATATCTTTAGTACATACCGGTACATACATACTCTCTTGTGTGCTGTCCATACAAGGAAAATAGTATGGTTGAGCTTGTGGCACCTTACAAACATAGTCTCTTGATTAGTAATTTCAAAATGAAAATAAAAACAATGAAAAAATACTCGGTTGTCCTTTCTTGAAGATATACCGGTTCATACATACTTAGTTGCATGTCATCAGTAGAAAGAAAATAATTAGGGTGAGCTTGCAGAGCCTTATGATCATAGTAACACAATTTCATTAATACTTTCAAATATTAAAATAAATACCATACAAAAATATGAAGTTTACTTTGAAACACATACCTGTTTGTGCGTACTCATTTGCATGCCATCCATACAAGCAAAATTGAACTTACGACCCTATAGGAACACACATTGGTGAATAATTTAAGTAAAAAAAATTATGAAATTTGCATATCAAACAAAATGAAAAATTTACTTGTACTTTGTAGCCTTTTTATTCTTTCCCTTCAACTGATTCACAATTTCATCCACGTTGCTACCCTTTCGATTGGTACATGGACGGCCTCTTCAGCAAACAACCATAGGACTAAGCACCTTGCGAGTCATGCTTGTATTTGTAGTACTGTGACCAAGCTCAGTTTTGGGGGAAGTATCAGAAGATGAGACAGTAGTAGTAGAAGGTGGCATATGACTTGCATAACCCGATTGATCTTGTCTCACTCTATCATTGATTTCTATTAACCCAAGTTGAATGACTTTGTGTTTACCATCATCGTTGGAAGCAATTTCTATAATTTCATCCAATGTCTCATGGTAGTTATCATGCACCTTTGCATTGAGAACAGGCCCAGAGTTAGTGTATGTGGTTGGAATGCATGTGTACCCTCTTTCCAAATCTGTTCTGTATTTATCTGAAACCTCATATATGCACCCTTTAAGGAGCACCCAAAGTGAATGGGCATACAAAACGCCCCTAAACTCAAACCACCGACACATACATTGGATGTCATATTCAATTGAATTATAGTACACAACAAATTCCACTTTCCTTATCTTCTCACCAACTAAAACAGCCTTTTTCACATGATAAGTACAAATTGATCCTTCCTCTTTGACAAGAGTCACATAACAGTACAATAGGCATTTCATTTTTGTTTGAACTTCTTTAAATTTTGCATTTGTATAGGCTGCACGAAATTGCTTTTCAAAGGCATACATCGTTAAGCAATCATACAATTTGTTTCGAGATTTAAAGTCTATTTTGGTCTCCTTCTCCACCTTACTTCTCTAGTCATAATGCTTACCAAATTGCTTTAAAGTCATCTAGGAGTTCACATATCCATCAAAAAAATGCATTCATGCTCTCACTTCGTTATGCAGTTGACATGCTAATCCAAAAAATGTCTTTAACATATGCAGGAATCCACCTATGTCGGGCTCACCGCATAATATCCCCAACCACTCGTTATCATTTAGACTGAACTTTGCAATCATTGCTTGCCATTCTTCATCAAATTCATGTTTTGTGAAAGAATCATAAATTGCATTTTGCAAAGCAAAATTTATGGATTCATATTGCGAATATCCTCTCAATTTTTTTCAAAATTTTCTTCATTATATGCCATAAGAACCAATGATGTTGAGGCATTCTGCATAGCTTTGCACTAGTCAGTTATTATAGCTTTTGGAGGAATGTCTAACATGCAACTTAACCAAGTTCTGAATAGTCATACAAATATCTCAATGTTCTCATTACATAACAGCCCATAACCAAACAAAATTGGCTGTCCATGGTGATTAACTCCTACAAACGGAGCAAACGACATGTCATATTTGTTTGTGAGGTAGGTTGTGTCAAATGTAACAACATCCCCAAATGTTTAATAAGCTACCCTACTCCTTGCATCAACCTAAAATAAGTTTTGCAAGCGTCCTTCTCCAAAGTCCATTGTAGAATAGAAGTTTGAGTTTTTTTGTTGCATCCTATGAAAATAAAGTGCAACTGATTCAGCATCTCCTTCCCCAAGCCTCAATCTTCTAGCATTCTCAATGTAATTCCTTGCATCTCATTCGTCAAATGTTGATGCCTCATATCCCCCCGCTTCAACAACTATAGAATAAAAATTCCTAACCACCCTTATCTCTGCCTCATTGTTTATTTCTAATCTTCTCTTCACAGGAGTTTGAATTCTTTTATTCATTGCAATATTTCATGAGTCAGTAGGAACCAAGTCATGAGTATGCTCAAGCACAACAGTTGTCAACTTAAATGTTCTATCCTTTTGTAGACTCCTTCTTACTTTTGCTTTACAATCATTTTTGGATGACAAAGATGGTTCCAGAGGGTTTATTTTGGGTATTTTTCTTCTTGTCCTCGCCCAAGTACATTCAATTCCAAAAGTATTTCAGTTTCCCATCATTACCAAAATTGGGTGTTCCATAAGCCATAGCAAATCCAAGGTGCTTCACATATTTTGCATAAAATAAATACACTTCTTCCTTTGAGGTAAAACACATCCCCTGCTTAGGTTCTTCAACTTCACCATTCTCTAGTTCTTGAACTTTCTTACTTGGATTGTTTGAACCTTCCATCCTTTTGTTGCTCTTTCAAGTTTGTAGGTTCAAATTGAAATACAAAATTCAATTAAAAAATTAAAAGAGATGGAGAGAAAAATATGGGGCTCAGTTAGTGCTAAAAAAGAGCAATAATAATAGTATTTCTAAATGAATAAACTCAATTTACATTCAAAATGAAGCACATTAGTCAATTTTGGCTTCAATTTCATATTCTATACTAGTATTGTTCTCTAAGATAAAAATTTTCATCTTATTAAAGTTTTAAAAATCAAGACAAGATGTTAAATTTTCCCTTAACCAAGCACTGTCTTTGTGCCTTTGCTGTCTATGTGTCTCTATTGAATAGTGATATGAGCAATTTTTTTTTAATTATTATTTACATGTGCATTTAAATTCTCTCATTCATCCCTTATTCTATGATGATCTCTTCTTTTTTTTTTTTTTCTGTTTGTTTCCTGTGAAAACTATGGAAAATGAGGAGCAACTTTCCTTCTAACAAACAATGAACGTAAATAGCACAACATCAAATTTCCATGATAATTTCAAGTAAGATACCTAAATCCTAGGAAAATCATGTTCAGGCAGGGTTTTTAATTTTAATTTTTATAAGTTCCATCTTGAATTAGATAGTCAATCAATTAATCAAGAAAGACAGAGAAGAAAAACATAAAATCTTATACAGCAAGTGAGGGCCTGCCCTTAATTTTTTTTTCTTATCCACATTTAAAATTGAAAGAAAAACTCAAACATTAGAAGAATATGTTTCCTAAAGATATAAGCAAATGTTAGCTTTCATAATAGAGTTTAATCCATAGTAAGTGCCTTTGAAGACCAATCAACACTAAACCAACAATGACACAACTGGACCATGCAAAATTGAATTCCGATAGGAAAATAAAATAGAAACCAAACCTCCACAACAAGAAAAACAAGCACAAACTAAAAATTCTACACATAATAAAACTAACAATACATCTAAAACCTAATTACAGTCTCAGAATAGCAAATTACCAAGATAAAAAACAATAGTCCTCACTTGTAACAATTAGGTTCTTAGACTTAAATCCATGTTTGAACTATCAGTTCATCAACAATGAAAAGACCAAAACCTTCAAATGCATTATGTGAAGTTGACAAAATTCACTCAGAAAATGGCTTTAAACCCACAGAATGCATCAATAACCAAACAAAATCTTTCTATGTGGACTTTCAACAAATGCATAGAATGTATCAATACAAAAACACCAAAATCATGGTTAAAACAAGTTAAAGGGCCTGGTGATATGAAGCAAACAGGAGCAAAATCATGAACCAAAAAGATTTCAACCAATGTAAGGCAAAGAATCTGTTTGAAGCAATACCTCAGTAGTGACCCACGAATCAGTTGCTTGTTGGTGGGTGGAGGCTAAAATTTTCAGATAAACCTGAGGAATTGAAGAGTGGTAGACCATGGTTGATGGTCAGGGGTGGTTTTCTTCGTCGTCGGTAGCCACCCAAGTCGTCGTTGTCATCGTTGGGGTTAAGTCCTATGGGTCGTGGTCATCTCTCTCTCTTTATCTCCTAGATATGTTGATTTGTTTACTCTTCAGTTTTCAAGGTGTGTGAAATCTACACAGGGTTTGGTGCAAGTGGCCGACGCGTGTGTAGCTTGACTTTTTCGCGCCCCATTTCGGAAGTTGAATAAAGCCCTACAGTATCAAAATCATGAACCAAAAATATTTCAACCAATGTAAGGCAAAGAATCTGTTTGAAGCAATACCTCAGTAGTGACCCACGAATCAGTTGCTTGTTGGTGGGTGGAGGCTGAAATTTTCAGATAAACCTGAGGAATTGAAGAGTGGTAGACCATGGTTGATGGTCAGGGGTGGTTTTCTTCTTCGTCAGTAGCCACCCAAGTCGCCGTTGTCATCGTTGGGGTTAAGTCCTATGGGTCGTGGCCATCTCTCTCTCTCTCTATCTCCTAGATATGTTGATTTGTTTTCTCTTCAGTTTTCAAGACGTGTGAAATCTACACAGGGTTTGGTGCAAGTGGCCGATGTGTGTGTAGCTCGACTTTTTCGCGTCCTATTTCGGAAGTTGAATAAAGCCCTACAGTATCGGACTCCCGTGGTTTTGAATTTGATTCCACAAGTGCAATGTGAAATACATAATCACCAAAGAGTCTCAATCCGACAAATCTTTTGGAAAATCAATTTTGAGTCAAATTGCCAAAAATGGACTGCTTTGCTAGATACAGAGTTGCCAACTAAATATTTTGTTTTGGAGAAATTTAGGAAACCCATGACTCATACCAAAGGCCACGTGTCCGTCATCACCAAGATTGTCTCGACTAGAGAACTTAGGTACGAGAGGGAAAGTCATGAATTGAATACCCCCGCTCGCCCGATCAAAGATTGGCCTCTACTAATCATGATATGAATCGTATGTATATTATATGTTCTTGTTCCGATTATTAGGTTAGCATTGCTATGTGATGCGCACAAAAAAATTATAGAATAACTTTGCAAGAATTGGAACATCTCGATTCATGTTTGTTTTGAAAATTGTTTCGAAATATGTACCACTTGAAAAAGTGATCGCATATAAACATTGCTCAAATTATTCCAATTTAAGCAATTAGCCTTCATCCACATGCATTCAATCAATTATAGCACTTAAGCAATTAGCCTCATGGAAAGCATGCTAAACATGGAAACAATCACACGCATGCGATATGCTAACGCGAGTAAAGGCTCACCTAGTACTCCAAGCAAAAAAAGAAATGAGTTAGAAAAACGCATGATTCCTAACTATGCAATATGACTAATGCAACGCATACAATATGCAACTAATAGGCTTGACTACTAATATGGCATATGAATCAATTAAATAGCATACGGTCTAAGCACGTATTCAAAGAAGTATTTAAACGACAATGCAAGTTAGAATGATGAACCGAGGCTCGGTGCATGCAATACAAGCGGATGCAAAACATGAAGTATGTTAAACAAAACATGATGTCCCTAAACTAATCATCATAAGCAAGTAAATAAAAGAGAGAAAGATGTGGGGTTAAAAGACATACACATTATTACATTGCGCTCTCACGAAGGAGAGTTCGAATGAACTAACTAGTTAATCTAAGCTAATTATTACAAAACAAATTAATTAGCTAAACTACTTAACTAATTATTACAACAAATGAATTAAATATTCTAGTTAACTAAAATAATTACAACACTTTACAAAATTAACTAGCTACAACTAATTAATTACAACAAATATCTAAGTTAAATATTTAAGCTTAAACATGCTCGGTATGTGAGGAATGCTCATGTACGTGCCCGGTTTCCACCCGAAAAGCCACTGTTTTGCTTCCAGAAAGCCTTTGTTGCACAATAGAACAGTTACACCTTTGTCCACTTCCAGAATAGCTCTGCTCTGCTCAAGAAACACACTGCTGGATTTTGCATTAGTGGCCGACCGACCAGGTGTGAGGGCCTGCCGGCCACTGCTGCAGGGTTCATTTTGCTGCAACAGAGAACAAACAGAGCATGCACAGGGTATTCTCAAGGGTTGTTTGCACAACTCACATCTCCTTATCATGAACAGATCAAAGGAGAGACAAAACTTGGTCCACAAACCATCAACTCAAGCAATTT